GTTTGTCCATGTGGAGGCAGGGCTTATAAGGCTGAGTTCACCTGAAACTCATCAGACTGAAGAAGTCTCTTGGAGGAGAGATGAAACGTTTCACTAAAGAAGAACCCATCCAGAGGACCTACTTATTTTTTCTTTTTGAAAATCAAGAATCTTTGGGTCAATCTCTTCGCTCCATCGTGTCATCACTTCTGAACAGGACTCTCAGTTACTCAAACTCCTCTCCACCACCCCCAACATGAAGGAAACATTCTACTTTGTTCCAGTTGGCTAATTTATAAAAGCTAATATGCAGAAGTATTGAAATGAATAGGATTATAACTAGATTGYGTTTGAGTGTGTTTAATTGGATTGAATTGGAACGAACAGAGCAGTGATTAAAGCTGACGTTATTCAATATCGGTTAATGAACCAATCATTTCAGCACTGATTAAATCCCCAAACAACACAAAAATCAGTGCATGTAAATTCTTCAGCGTACTTTATCAGTACCGAGCAGTTTAGTCAATATTTATTGATTTTTATTGCTAGTAATTGCAAACAAGAGCATGTTGAGTTGCATAAATTCATTTGTTGCGTTCCACAGCCTCATTACAGTAATTTAAAGATACTTTAATGCTGTGAGGTTTTCTAAAGATGCAGTTAAAGCTAGAATCTGCTTTTTATGTGGTTTAACATRTAGTTGCTGCAGTCGGAGAGCGACAAAGTACCAAAAAGTTAGTGCAGGATTAGATGGATTGTGGATGGAGAAACAAAGTTCTCAATAGATGTCATCAAACTGCACATTTTGGGGACTGATGAATGCTCTCTTTGTACATCACTCATACACTCCCTCACCTGTGTTTGCTCTGATCTGTTTGCTTGATTCAATTGTTTGGATTGAAGCTGCGAGGCTAAGACCAACAAGCCAATCACCTGCCAGCTTACAGCCCCGCATCACGTCACGCTCCACTGTTCCCCCTACCCCTCTCTGTTGTTTGTATCCCCTTCTCTAACACACACAAACACACTCATAGTTGGCCAATTAAATAAAATGGTTTGCTTGAAGTAGGAGGAAAAGCTCAAATAACAAGAGATGCTCGCAAGACGGGGTGAAAGACGAAACGATCTAATTAAAAAAACTGTTTGTGCAACACGTCCCTGCTTATATTTGTGCGTCTAAGATTAATGTGTTTGTTCCTTCCTTCCTGGAGGGAAATTGAATTATCACAGAAGAAAGTGTTAATTCTTTCAGCTAGGACAGAAACGAGCATTGTCCTTAAAGATCTGCACTTTCAGCTGAGTCCAGCATACGGAGTGTCAGATTTAAACCTTGTAAAGCAATAGTAGGCTGTGCTGAAAATTGCTAAATTAGCGAAAAATTCTAAACGGTGTCACCTTAGGCTTCCTGCGCCGAACAGACGCCTCGATATCTAACCGGACTATAAGTGAGTCGCTTTCTTTAGCTAAATAATGCAAAGGTTGTAAAATTTTAGTACGTTTTAATGCAGCAGGGCTTTTTATTTTCTTGCTTCTGCTGGCACGTACTATCAAAGTAAGCACAGCAGAGATCACAGCTGAAGAATAATTCATGAAACGATGTCTAAAACTAGTTTATCCTCCACTTTTACACATCAGCATGCAGAGTACACTCCGACGTTCATTGCTGCAATTAAACTGTGATCATTTCATGAAATAGTCTAACTTCTCGGCTTATTTGCCTGTGTAATGTGGCCAAGAAAATATATGTATTTTGCAGGATCTAATTTTAATCTCGCTCTTAGCCATCCTTAAATTAAATTCCCGAGCCTCAGCGTCTCTTGTTGTTCTCAAGCCAGCGTCGACATTAAAGGGTTTGAAAGGCAGTAGTGGGAAAAAAAAAGAATCCCGACAAGTTATAAAACACGGAGAGAGAAATTTCACAGATTGCTGTCAATCTGAAGAACAGAAGAAGCGTCGTCTCTTGCTACACTATTATTAAAAGTGTCTGTCCAGAAGAGATAAGGTGACATCATCTCGTAAACAGAAAGCCTCGTTTTCCTCCACTCTATCTCACTCAGTCACTCTCACATGTGACCTTATCCCATCTCTGTGCTTCCTCTTTGTTTTTTATTAACTTACATTTCAATGTATGCACTTGTACGCACAGAAAATAAAAAAGAAACTTGGAAGCTCCTCCACCTGCAGTTTAACACCAGTTTTATAACCAGACTGTAGGTGTCTGGATATCCCACCAGTCCAGCCAATCAGAAAGCAGAATTTTTAATGACCRTATTAGAAGCTGAAATGAAAATGTATGCATGTAACTAAAAGTCCTTCAAGTGTGTCAGGTTGCCTTCAGACACACTCCCATACTGAGATTTATCCTGCCGTTAAATGGGCATTCACTTTTAAGTGACTAGCATTCAACAGGGCTGTAATTATTCTGCTTCTGATGAGGCTCTGGAGTGAAATGAATAGAACAGGGAACATCTCATCCTTTTGTCTTTCTTCCGCTTTAATTCCCCTTGCTCATTTCAGAGTCGTGGAAAAAAAAAGAGCGAGGGGAAAAAAATGAAACAAGGGCCTGAAATAAAAGGCGGTGCAAAGAAAAAGGGGATTTGTATCTTTCTTTGTCTGCGTCGCCCTGGAAATGTACATTTCTGGGTTGCGGGGAAATAAAAAAAACGTGTTCCATTTTTCTCACTTTCCCCCTCCTTTTTATGTATTTATCATTAAATACATTGTGTGAGCGTGCTTGAAATGTGATGAAGAGCTTGTTATTTGGGCTACACGGAGATGCTGAAAATGGCTCTAAATGGTCCTGATAATGAAAAGTGACAGAGTTTTAGCTCAGACTAGCACTCCTATCGGCCATTACACCAAATACATCATTTTTCTTTCCTTCCAAAAGCTTTGTGTCTACGTCTGTAGCTGTAAATACAAATTAACTGCTGTATCTTTTGTACTGCTGCCATATTTACCTCAGTAGTTTGGAGCATCACTACAGTTGTGTAGTATTAGTATACCCTCCCTTTTTAGTAAGGTAATGGTAACAATGGTTTCATCCCAAAATAGAAGAAAATCTCTTATTTTGTTTTTGTTTGTTGGTTGGTTTTCTGTTCATCTTTTGACAAAAGTTACAAACTTTTAATGTAAGTTTCTGTGGAAGAGTAAATATTTTTGTCGTAAGTAGCTTTTGGAATCACGTCAGTGTGAGAAATCGTCTAATTAGTCCAGGATTTAATGAGTTATTGGTTAATCTGAGTGGGACCAAGAGTGGATTGCCGCTGTCAGAAAATATTTATAACCAGAACAAGTTTTGTAGCGTTTCATTTATACACATATTTGGAAGTAATGCCTAAGCATTAGAGCTGGATATTTACCAGGTACATATCTGGTAGGTAGGTGTCGTGTATATACCACAGGTATACCAAATTATAGTGTGTTTATTGGGCATGTACTAGATACCCAGTATATACATTTTTACTTTCTTTTATTACCTCCGCCAAGGCCGAGGTAATGTTTTCAGTCGCGTATGTCTGTCTGTCTGTCTGTCCGTCTATTACTCAAAAACTTGTGGACAGATTGTCATGACATTTTTACCACATGTGGGTACCGGGCCAAGGAACACACCTTTAAATTTTGGTGATGTTCTGGATCGCGATGTGGATACAGGAATTTTTTTTTCTTTTAACACTCTGAGATTGGCAAAGCTGCGATGCTTTCACAGGGCTTCTGTAAAAAACAGTGAGCTGGATTGGACAGCACGGACTTCAAACTTTATAAAAGTAATGTTAAAACCAGATTTAATGATGAATAATTTTTACCATAATATGCACATTTACAGAATGTTTTGTGACCAGGAAGTGCGTGACTGCACCATGAAACCTATTTTTCCTTTTTCCTCAAACATATCACATTTCCGAAACAACCAATCAAAACAGTTTCTCTCTACTAGGCTTGTAAACAGAGAGCTTCTGGGCCTCAAAGTTTGGAGACGGGGGAGCCAGGAAGCACTTTATAAAGAGAGTCAAACCATTACAAACTCATACAAGGGGATAAAACAGACGTTTTACATGGTGAAATGTGACTGATGAAAACTTAGGAGCTTAATCCCACACCAGTTTGACCATGAATAACGTCGGGTGACGAGTCTGACTTTTTTTTTTCACATTGGACTCCACCGAGAGGAAATCCCATAAACTGTATACTGCTGCTTAAATGTTCACCACGTCAGAACTTATTCAGCAAATGTGTTTCCATCTCTGCTTTTGTGCATTAACTCTTACAGGATGGGGGAAATTGGTCTTGGTGGAGGTTTGCATTCTCCGAGTGCTTCTAGTTTTGAAAGTTGTTTTAAGACAGCAGCGATCCACTTTGACCTCAGCGCCTCTCAGGCTTAGTAATCCTTTCACAATTAGTCATTTTTCCAAACTGCCATTATTACAGAGATATCTGCTACATGTAAGATATTTGATATTATTCTTTTCACAGAATCCTGCTTCAGAAAATTTGAACTATTGCTTGTTTTTACCATTTTACTCCCAGCTTTAAAAGTTTCAACAAAACTCAGCCATGTGGGGATTCAGTCTGATATAACAGTCATGCAGGATAATTGTTTTTTGGAGCGTTGCCTTCATAAATACAAGTTCTCTGCTGAATTTGGCATCCATTGATGCAAATACTGCAACTTTATTATTATTTTTGGAAGGTTTTGTTATGTTTTTGCCAATTATATATGACGTTTTTTGCATTTCCCTGATGATGTTCTTTTTTCGGTTGGCTTGCTAGCTAACAGAGATTAGGTGCTGTGTAATAAGTTTAATGTTAATTAATTAAAAATTGGATTGTAGCTCATGATTTATAATACAGTTTAAAATGAAAGTACAAGTGTTTTTTTTTCTTAATTTCTTTAGCCTCTTCTCCTTTCAAATCTTCAATTGATTTAGCATGTTAGCTTTTAAATAAATATTATAATGAAGCTGTGATTATTTAGTTTTAAAGTTTTAAAATGTTAAATTTGTTTGTTGTTTTCTCACCAGGCTGAACCAGAGGGCTTTTCTCATTTTCATCTCTACGTGTGTGCGGCTTTCCTGGTGAGGTGGAGGAAAGAGATTCTAGAAGAGCGAGATTTTCAGGTAATGAGCTACAAAATAAAATGTATATATATACGTAAATAAACGTAATTTACGTAAATAAAAAGAAAAGATCATAATAAGACACAAAAAATGCAAAAGAAATATAGTGAAGCTAGGGATGCACAATATGTCTGCATTAACATCGGTATCAGCTCATATCGTTTTTAGCATATCGGTATCAGTCCAACATTTGTGTTGGGAGGGGAGATAGTTGGTCAAGCGGTATCTGTTTATCATGATAGTGATATTAAGATATTGAAATATCGTAATATCATGATAGTGATATTACGATATTTCAATATCGTAATATCACTGTCATGATAATACGATATTTATCGTATTATCATGATAGTGATATTGCGATATTGAAATATCGTAAAATCACTATCATGATAAACAGATAACGATATTGAAAAAAAAGACAGGTGTGTTTGTGTAATATCAGTAAATATCTGTTATCAATATTGGCTGAAATCAGTGCGTCCCTAAGTGAAGCCAAAACTTCCTGTATGTGTACCCATCTTATCTTAAACTTTGCTTTTTGGCAAAATCCAACCTGTTCTTGTTCTTTTTGCTAATGAGTCTGCTGTAGCCTCGAGGCTTGTGTTGATAAAGTTGTCTGATTAGTAGCTAACCGTGGCTCCAGCAGATCCCAGGAACAACCTGAGATCTTTGTCCAAAAGGATAATAAAAAAAGTGAAGAAATACGTAATCCATGTTTTTACACCAAGTGATAAATTCAGATATGAAACTGTAGCTGTCCATGGTCTCCATCCCTCTGCAACACCTCCCTGCTCATCAACCGTAGTATAAAGTTGTGAGCATTAGCAGATGACAGTAACCAGCTGCCAGAAGGTGACTTTGTTTGCCTGCCTTTAACTGAAGCAACATAATCTAAAATTACCACCCACAAACATAATCTCTGCTCTTCCACTTTTGCTTTAACTTTTTAACCTTTAACTTTCCTCCACATTCCTTTTCCTCCTCAGCGTTCCGTTCTATATTTTTGTTTCTTTTTCTCGTAGCTGTTTTCTTTGTGTTTGGAGCCCTCTTGCATCTGTTGACTTGCTCGGTAATATAACCGGAAGATAAATCCGGCACAGATGAATGAGTAAAAGAGGAAGACATCCAACCCTCCTGAGCTCTCGTGTGGTTTAAACTTGATCTGATCCAGAAGATATTATAAGTTGCGCTTCAAGCAGATGAGACGACCCACTTGACTGCACACAACAAAGTGGACAGGTGGGAACTTTATGTGGAGCTGAAGTTTCTATTTACCTCAATGTAAARGCTCCTTTGAGCTCGCTCAGACTCTACGATTGCCCCCCGTTTCCCCTTTGCTTCTCTCCCTCACTATATGTTTGTATTTAAGGCTTTGATCTCTTTTATTTATAGTATCTACTGAGTTTTTATTAACTCTCTACTTTAAAAGCACGCAAATATACACGCAGAAACAAATTTAGGAAGACTTTTTTCCTCCCCGCTCCCTATAGTTCTACTTATTGGCTGGCTTGTCTTACAGACTACCAAGTGGTGCGCCAAGGGCAAACAATCCCTTCTCATAAAAACGAGACTGAAAAGATGAAACGTAGAGGGAGGAGAGGATCAGGTTGGCAATGAAAGTGAGAAAAGATTAAACTTCACAGCAGCAGAATGAAAAGGAAAAGTTCGTTTATGTTCGGCAAACAAGTGTTTTGGCACGTGCTGTTTTTTTGCAACAGTTACGTGCCGATGCTGGTTTTTCCACAGACGTGATTACATCCAGAGCTGTGCTGCAGATGATTCATTAAAGCCAAACACAATTTTCCTCTCTCCTGGGATTTGAAGCCAATAAACGCCTTTCAAAATGGACACAACAAACAAAAGAACTGCTAAACACGCTTGTCAGATGAGTGAAAGCAGAACCCTGTTGGTAACTGAGCTTCAAATAAAAGATATTTGAAGTCGGGAAGAATTTCTGTGCATTAATAATCCCCAGAGATGGTGCRTTTAAAAGTATGTTTTTAAATACGTGTCAGATTTAGTCGCTTTCATCAATAAACCATTTAGATCAAATAAAGAATGTAATGAATAAATTACTGTCTCTAGCTTGACCTCCTGCTATTAGAGTTGCTATTAAAATAGAAAATAAGTATTTAAAACATGTCATTACAAATCTGAAAACAGCACTTTTTAATTATTTTATTTTACTGAAATAAATCAAAAGTAAAATCGAATCAAATTGGTGTTTCACCCTGGAGTTAATTTTTTTAAACAACAATAGAAATCAATTATTTCTTGCTTGATTAGGAAATTCCTCACTAAATCTAAAACTACACCCCCTTCATTTAAATCAGGAGGGAAAACTGAGACAAATATTTAATCCAAGCAGGATTAAATTTGKAATTTGTCTGTTTTATTTCACTAAATGTTATTCAATGAGTGATTGAAAAACTGGAGGCTGAGTTTGAGATGTGACATTTGTTCTTTTATATTAGGTTTGGGCTCTGTCGTCTTTTCTCCCAGTAAATTCAAACAGAAACCATTCATGTTTGAGGTAGGCACGAATTATTTAGACTTTGTGGTGGATTTTCTGAAATAAGGGAGAACTGAAGAATTAATGAAAATGAGCCGGATAACAAAAGAGAACATTAACTGTCAGTAGCCGTGACACATGTAGAGTTTCTGTTATTATATAAAGATCACGCACAGCAGCTATAAAATACAGTTTGAACTCAGTAACATAAAACCACAGTGTTACATTCCACAACTTAAAAACTTTATGCAACATAAATTATTTAAAGAGAAACATGAATTGAATCTAATCTAGTTTCAACATAAATTGGTTTTGTATGCAGATGATTTTTCACTTAGTTTTAAATAAAAAGCTACCTTTGCAAAGTAATTAGAGGCAAACTAATTAGGACTTTTCAGTGACAAAGTCTAGTAAATACAGTCAGTACTCAATGACTTATTTATAAAACTAACGTGTTTTTCAGTCAATGTATATATCAGTTCCTAAATTGAATAATGAAATTTGTCTCAATAACAAAGGGCTTAACATAAATCATTTAAACCAGGGGTTCTTAACCTYTTTGACCTCAGGGCCCAATTTTTTGAACATAAAGTGGCACGAGGTCCAGTCAGACATTATCAATGTACAGATCAAAATGATAATTATTCTAATCTAAATCTTGGTTTAATGTTTATTGTATTTACATCATAACTAAACTATCATAACTAA